TAGACTGGTTCCCATTTTCCAGAGAAACCACCATATTGATTTCCAAAGTGGCTGTACAAGTTTACACTCCCACCAGCAATGGAGGAGTGTTCCCCTTTTTCCACATCCTCTCCAGAATAAACTGTCATTGGTGTTTTTGATTTTCGCCGTTCTGATGGGACCAAGATGGTATCTCAGAGTTGTTTTGATTTGCATTTCCCTGTTGGCTAAGGATGTTGAGCACTTTCTTAAGTGTCTTTCAGCCATTTTAGATTCCTCTGTTGAGAATTGTCTATTTAGTTCTGTACCCCACTTTTTAATTGGATTGTTTGGTGTTTTGGTGACTAGCTTCTTGAGTTCTTTGTATATTTTGGAAATCAGCCTTCTGTCAGATGTGGGGTTGGTGAAGATCTTTTCCCATTCTGTGGGCTGCTGTTTTGTTGACTGTGTTCTTTGTTTTCGAAAGCTTCTCAGTTTCAGGAGGTCCTATTTATTAATTTTCAATATCATGCTGTGGTGAGATTAGTACATACATATGGGTGAGATTATATTGGGAAGGGATGGTTTTGCCTTCACTATGACTGAACAATTGTGATCTAGAAAACTCATCTTTAAAGCTATGTGATGGTGGCACGTGCCTTTCATTCCAGCACTCTGTGTGTGTGCAGGGGAGGGAGGGAGGCAGAGGCAGGCCGATCTCTGTGAGTTCAAGGCCTACCTGATCTATGAAGCTACACAGAGAAACCCTGTCTCAAAAAAAAAGAAAGAAAAGAAAAAAGAAAACTCTTCTTTATCCTCTGAATTTGACCTTCAGCACTATAGATGCTGAATGATGCCAGATGTGCTAGTGATGATCCAGGAGACCATCTCAAGGGACATGATGAACTGAATCTTAAACCAAGACTCCCACGGAATGGCCACAGAACTTACTTTCAGGATCTTTGGCCAAAAATCACCAAGAACCTGATTAAACAAATTCTAAAGTCTTTCTGAATTGTGAGCTCTTTGCCCAAAATATAGGGTTTTAATTTTTACAGATCCCCCTATTCATCAATTCATGACACCATCCTAAACAAGAGACAATTACCCATGGCATGTGCCTCTATTAAGAATATAGTACCTGTCCTGATCCTGGAATCTGTCATCTCTCCCAGGTCTTTCTCACACTTATGTCTCCATCTTTGCTACTGACAATAAATTTTTCTTATTATTTTCATTCAGTTTTTTTTCCACAGATGCCATTTTATAATGATGCTCTGACAGTTATTTCCTAAAGAGTTACTTTTAAGACAACATATGACAGGTCAACAGGTGTTTCCCACCACAGACAGGACTCTGTTATACTGGGTGCCCATCACAGAGCATGAAGAGAGGCCAGTCACCAGCATGGTGTGATCCCTGATGTGGTGTCATCTGGAGCATGGAAGTAAGTGCACTGGTTTTATACATAAAGATGGCCTGGATACAGTTGGCAAGCTTTCTGTTTGTCATACATTGACAAGAAATAGCACATAATTCCTTAAAGGCTGATGGGTTTCCCTCTTAGGTTTCAAAACTTGATATCAGAGAGATTTACTGCAGGTAGAGAATGTTAATTGCGTTCTGGCTAATTAAGGAAAGGCTGTGTGAGATACATGAGTCCAAATCCAGGAGGAAACCACAAGGGTGTTCCCTGTAATCCTTTGTTTGTTTGTTCCCTATAATTCTAGACCAGTGTATTAATGAGGAACTATATCTCAACAGGAATATAATACCCATGGACTCATGGGCTGCAATACACAAAAAAGTCAAGAGGTATTTGAGTTAGTTTGGACAATTGATTCTATTTAGCCTTGCATGGGCTTTTATTTTGGAGAGGATTCTCTGAGGAAGGGGTGTGGCCCTGGTGCGCGGCAGGGAGACTGAGAACTCAGAGTCATTTGCCCATGTCCCTTCTACAACAGAGATTCATCGGTCCCTCTGATTTGCTGAATCTAGGTCATGAAGCTCAGTTTACTATGCAGTGCAGCATTGTGCTTCCTGCAAGCAGGTGAGTTCTGGGCATGTCTCAGTGTTCATTTTAGGGACTGAGACGAAACCTTTCCATCACTGGGAGAGCACTCACTTCTCCTCTTCCACAGGTCCAGTAAGTGCTGGCATCAGTCAGACTCCCAGCTGGATGATCCTGAAGACAGGGCAACTTGTGTCAGTGAACTGTACTCAGCACTTGAAACATGACTGCATGTTCTGGTACCGACAGGATCCAGGGCTGGGACTGAGGCTAATCTACTACTCGTACGATGTCAGCAACACTGAAAAAGGAGATGTCTCTGAGGGGTACAGTGTCTCCAGATCAAACGCAGAGGACTTCTCCCTCACTCTGGAGTCAGCCACCCACTCCCAGACATCTGTGTACTTCTGTGCCAGCAGCTATACCACAGAGCTGTGTTCCTGCCTCTTCTCTGTACATAAAGATACAGGCAGAGAAGAGGCACTACCCCCACCTGGAATTCAATGACAAATTAGAATTCTCAGCACTGGAACCTTGGAGCTCTGAGTGTTCTAGGCACTGCAAACCCGGGCAGTGCAAACCTGTCTGTGCTCAGGGATATCTACTGGCAAGCTCAGGCAGGTTTGGACCACAACTTAGACTCAGAGATCTCCACTGATGCTTCTTTAATTCCTCTAATTCTGACTTTTCTGGTCTTTGTCTTGAGTCTGAGTATTCCTGGATGGAAAGTGGCTTGGAATTTGGAAAGGGATAATTGAAAAGTTGCTCGGTAGATTGAGGAACCAACAGTGGAAGCACCTTAAATTGTACTTTGCCCTGCCAGAAATGAAGTCTAACTCTGAGCAAGCACATCTCTTTGATTACTGGGCTATAGTGAGTGCTGGAATGTGGTACCACATTCTCTAGCCCCAGTGGCCAGAACAGAATAAAGGCTTTCTTAAGTGGCTGAATCCTAAGCCTTCTTACAGGCAATTTTCCCACAGGAATTTAGATAGACCAGAGACCCATCCAGAATGCCATCCGTGGAGTGCTCTTCCATTGAGACCACTTATGATACCAATACATCTACTAAATTTCCACCACAGTGATGATACAGAACCAGTTAGTTATCATGGGAAGATGGCATTTATTGCAGATCTCCTAGAGAAAGAGCTAGATTGAAAGGAAGAAGTTGGAGGTTAGTGAGGTGGCTGGCAGCCAGAGCTCTTGGCTTTCTGATGTAGATCCCAAGATGGAGACACAAGGGAGAGAAGGTTTAGAGTCTGCTCAGACATTCTGGGTATGAATTCTGAACTAAAACTGATAGTATCTTGAACAAGAATGGAAGAAACCAAGGGGCACTCACTCCTGAGTATCTGTTGAAGCCTCTGTGTTCAAATGATCTTTGATGCTCAACATCTGGGACCATCGCTAGATACAGAATATAGAGGCAAACGTCCTTTTGGCCTGTGGACACCATTGTATCTGTCACCATCTTACTGCTAGACTTTAGTGACCTTCTAAATACAATGGTAAACTGGTGGTTATTTTATTTTTTTTTCTAAATTGTACACAAATGTTTCATTACCAAGCATAATCTGAAAATGATGACAGCCTAGGTCAGTTGATTTAGCACCACTTAACACAAGGTGGCTTCTCCTGGACTGAGTTGTCACATCTGTCTCAACCCTGCTTTGGTCCGTAGGCTCCTCTTCTGAATGCACCTCTTTCCAAGTGATCTGTGACTGTAACTAGGGTGTTTCTGGTCTAGGTGTTGCTTTCACACCTGTGGAAGAAGTCCTCTTTGTATTCAGTCATGACTTTATTTCTTGCTTCTATCTTTTTGTCTAGCTCCCATGATGCTGGAGTCCACCAGGCAGGATTAACTCATGATTAATGCGACTGGTCAACCCAATCAAAGAAAAGCAGATGGATTCAAAGTAAGAAGACTCATTCTACTCCAACTCAGCCATGATTAAGTGGTAAATAGAGTATTTCTTGTTCTGCTGCCATAGTGTTCACAATGTAGAACTTGTCTTTGATCTTAGTTTTACCTACTTCCCAGTTATCCAGTCTGGGGTTCAGAATATATGAGAATTAATGAATTTGTTGAGAAACATTTACTTACTAAACAAACCTGGATGCATTTCTGTATGCAACCCAATTTGCCACTTTGCATAGAAATTTCCCATTAACATATGACCAGTTTCTGAATATAAATGTGTGTAAAACCTAGAAATATGGTTGAAGCATCCAGTCCATTTCTGAAATCTTTGAGTAGAACAGGTATTTAAAGATCTTATAACCATGACAACTGTTACAAAAGAAAACATTTAATTGGTATTGCTTAAAGTTTCAGAGGTTTCGCCCATTATCATCGTGGCAGGGCATGGTGGCATGCAGGCAGACTGGTTTGAGAGAGAGCAAAAGTGGTTGATGGTGTTCTAATTACTCACCTTTCCCCAGGAATTAAAAATGTATGCTAAATTTAATGGCAGTTACTTGATAAACACAAAAAAGATGGGAATAAGACTTCACTTCATTGCATAAGGTTGTAGGATATTTGGTTGCACTGTGTGAAGGTGTGTCTCTCTCTTTCCTTGCCTGTCTAAGATACCTTCTGATTGGTTTGATAAAGACCTGAACGTCCAATAACTAGCAGGAGAGGACAGTTGGGACTTCTGGGCAGAGATAGGAACTCTGGGAGGGTCTGAGTCAAGGAGATTTGACAGTGAGGTGTGGAGGAATTTGGACACACAATATGGAGAAGAGGGAGAGAGACTCGTGTCAGAATGTAGATTAATATAAATGCGTTAATTTAAGTTCTAAGAGCTAACTGGGAAAAAGCCTAAGCTAAAGCCAAGTTTTCATACTGAATAAGAAGTCTCAGTGTCATTATTTGGGAGCTGGCAGACCAAAGAAAGTCCGACTACACCATGTATTAAGCATTTTTTTCCATTTTATTTCAATTTCCCACTGCTCTTGCCATGAAGTCACACCGTAGCTCACTTTCTCTCACGCTTCAGTGCAGTCTCAATACCCCAAAGCAATAACTAGAAAGTGAATTTTTCAATCCTTGACTAAGACTTTCAGTTTGAAATAATGTCCTTGAGGTCTCTAACTTGAGAAGAAGGAATTAAAAATTGATGTCCTTATTTTTTTATATTTAGTTAGTGTATACTGCCAAATACTCTTTGTTACCAATACAATTATATTGTAACACAATTGTCTGCCCATCATAGGTGAAGCCAAGATGTATCTATGAGACCTAAATGTATAATGAGAGTTGATAATAAATACATTCTGGGTTTCTGCTTCTCCTCAAAGATAATCAGTGCTCTAAGATTGGAACTGCCTGTCACAGAGCCAGCCACCATTGTTGCACTCGTAAGCTGGTTAGAGAAATTCCAGTCCCCTCAAAATCCACCTATCATAAATTAGGGTGACTCTGTATACCAGATATCTTTCCTCAACAATGATGACTTTGGTAAGGAATTGTCCATGTCCTATTTTAATGATGTTATCCTCAAATAGTCCATATTTTGTTTTTCCTGTCTCCTGGGAGCAAATAAAGCCACAGCATGGGTGGCAAGTGCCTGTCCTTGGGGGTGATTCAAATTCTTTCTTTCTTAACTTTTTTTAACCTTGGCTACCTGGTCAGGGTAGCAGGGTAATCTCTCATTAATTTTCTGGTTTATACAGAGCACACAGCTTGCTTGTAAATACTGGACCATAATACAGTATATGGGTCGTGTCTGCTTTACATAGCTTGAAGCTCAGTTCTTACAGCACTGGGGAAGGTTTTTGTGTTTTAATTATATACAGAAATCATTTCTACTCTTCTGCTTGGTAAAATTTGTGACAGCCAAAGAAAAAGCAGTGAGCATCAAGCTATGTAAATCAGACACTGTCCATATCACACGTCAATTCCAGTGTCTTTTTTCCTAATATTTATACTGAGTAACAGTTCTTCTCATGCCTGTCTGTCTTAGTAAAAGAAAATTTTAAGGAAAACAAGCTCATACTGTATTGTAATTGTTGTGTACACAACAGTTAAACGAATGTGGGATAGATGCTAAACATGAAAATTCCAACAATTTGTCAGAACTAGAATTAGAGTTTGGATTGAAGTTTAATAAGATTGATCATTAAAAACCGTCCTATAATACTTTTGGAATTTCCTCCTGCTGATCAGTCACTCAGACACTTCCTTGGGTGATTGCAGGAAAAAATTCCTGTATTGGCCACAAGATGGCACTGAGCTCCACAGATCTCTAGAGAGACTCTGGGCAAACCGCAAAGGATGGGAGTGAAGACCAGTTTCAGTTACTAGTTTGCATCCAGCCATCTGAGAGGTGGGAGGGTGTCTCCAAACTTTAATGAGACCCACTGTTGGAGGACTTGGGCAGGGTAGCCTTGATGCCAAGACAGGTGCTGACAACGGACAAAGTCCCCAACTGGAAAAGGGAAACCACTGGAGTGTGGTTTACCCTCATTTCCTGGTACCTAAACTCATTTTTCCTGTTGTCTTTGCTGAGCAAGAGAGGCCTGTCTCAGAAGTTGCAAGAGGGTGGTGGCATTAGAGGCCCAACCATCACTCCCAAGAAGAAGAGGCTCAGAATTCTTGTCCTCAGTCCTGAGACCACAGCATTCAGCTGGGGTGATCCCTTCTCGGTGTAACCATGAGCCCCACATTGCTTTGTGTGATGCTTTGCCTGCTAAGAGCAGGTGAGTTGTGTGTTGTGTTGGAGAATTCTGCCATCGCTTTCCGTATCCTAGCTCCAAATCTTTCCTATCCCCACAAGGCACACGCTATTTCTTATTTGCCTTATGCTTCTTTCTCCAACAGACCTAACAGATGCTGGGATCACCCAGACACCGAGATACTGGATCACACAGACAGGAAGAAAGATGGTCCTGGGGTGCTCTCAGAATATGGGCCACTATTGGATGTTCTGGTACCGACAAGATGCAGGACAGGGATTTAGGCTGATCCATTACTCGGGAAGTGTTGGCAGCACTACTAAAGGCGATGTCCCGGAAGGGTACAGTGTCTCCAGAAACGAGAGCGACCATTTCCCCCTGACATTAGACTCAACCAGACCCAGCCAGACCTCCACGTACTTCTGTGCCAGCAGTGAACACAGCACTGCATAGCCAGGTGCTGCCTGTACAAGAAGGACAACTCCAAGTTGAGATGGGCCCTCCTTTGTCAGCCCCCGCCCCAAGCAAAGGCAAGGTCTGAATTCCTGAAGCTCTTCCCAGCAATGGAATCTCACCCAGAGGAACCTTGTGCAGTATGAATCTTAGTATGAACTGAGGTCCAATATGTATGTAAACAAAACTGATATTGGATATTACCTTTTCCAATTTGGAGTCTTCTAGTAACCAAGTGGAGGGGATAGTAGCTTCCAACATGACATTTGTATTTTGTTTTCTTTGCAAAAGAAATTTACAAATCAACAAATCTCAAGCTGGAGAGTCACTGAAGAGAAAACAGACTAAGGATCTAAAGCCCCAGGGAGGCAGAACGCTGTTTTTAGTCTTATTCAGGTAGACCCAGACAGGAAACTAATACTTAATTTCTTTGTCTTGGATTAAAATATGTGAACACTTTGATGTTTTTCCTTGTGAATATTGAGTAAGCACTCTCCCCCAAGTTTGCATTACTCCTTAGCACCTGCAGGGAAGAATCCACACCCAGAGCAAGGTCTCAATTTGGAAACTATGAGTTCCAAAGCCATGAGGTTCCTAGCTGGACTTTATAGAAAACGCAAACCCATGTGTCTATACTGTGCCCAAATATGACTCTAAAGCTGCCACAGGAATGAACTGGCTCACCAAATAGCCTGCAGATAAAGAGAGGATCAGGCTGCTTACCTTGCAAAAATTCAGTTCCCAATTGGCCAGTGCACTGATAGAGAAGTGATGATTTACAGGTTTATAAATTATGCTATTTACAGCCATTTATAAACTATTTCAACAGACTTTGAGTTGTGTTTACATTTTTTGCTTGTATTCAGCTTTCATCCAGAAATCAATACTTTGTTCTTGCTAGCAAAATTTGTCAGTCTAGCTTACTCTGATGTCAGATCTGGTTGTCTATATTTCAGTCACGAAACACTTCAAATTCTCAATATTTTGTGCAAATACATGTGTTCAGGGATTTACTTTTGTCTGATGGATTTGAAATTGCATTATGTAAAATAACAGCACATATTTGCATGGGACTCCTTCTTTTATGGAATTTTGAAATTCTCTTTTAAATAATACCTTATTAAGGTATAATGGGAAATAAAAGGCTCAAACTGATCCATGGCTAACTGGTAAACTCATATATCAGTTTAATTATAACTAAAAAGAAAATGAAACTTTCTTTATCCCTTTTCCAACAAATTTTTCTTTGAGAGGTGATGGGGAAGTCCTTCTGTGTATATGCTTGTCTTACTGGTTGATAAATAAAGCACTGTTGGCCAATAGGGAAGCAGGATAGGTGGAACTAGGAAGTCAAGGAGGATTCTGGGAAATGTAGTAAAGAGTGGAGAGTTGCCATGTGATCCCAGAGAGAGGGGTCCCACATGTCAGGCGTCCTTGGTAAGATAAGTCCTTATAAAAATATATAGATTAATAGTTATGGGTTAGTAATTAAGTCAGAGCTAGCCACTAAGAAACCATAGTCAAAGGCCAACAGCTTTATAATTAGTATGTCTTGTGTGCTATTTGGGATTGACAACACTGGGACCAGGCCTGCGGGACGAATTTATCGTAACCTTATGGCGCCCTCAACATGCGGCAAGAATTTCCACATAAATCTAACAAAAGCTTAAAAGGGATTTTAGAAACAAAAGAACAGAGACAGGCACCGCTTCTTGGTAGCTGCGTTTTCTCAGGTGGGCTCTGTTTTGCTAGAGACAAACAGAGACTCGAGAGGCTCCTTTAAGGGAGGAGCCTTTCCTGACTCAGCATGGGGGGGGGCACAAGGCTCTTTTAAGAGGCCCTGCTAATAATTGAAGATAATTTGACTTCTATTACCACTGTTTGATTTGTATCCATTTTTGAACATCTTTGAAATGAATTATATTTATTTTTATTTGACACATTCCTTCAAAATTAACATTTTAAAACTACATTCACTTTGTGTTCATACGTCATTTATTTAGTCTGTTTCTACATGATGCTCCTTTGTATTACATTATAATGTACTTACCTCGTTATGGAAATATATACTCGTCACCCAAGTTCTCATCTATCATGGGAAGCGAAGCTTCTTGGAGCTCTATTGTATCATTCTTTGTGAATGCACATCTATTTCACTTGGACATAGATCTCAGAGGAGAATTATTGACTCATAAGCCACATGAATATTTAGACATATTAAAAACATGTCAAAAGTTTTCCAAAGTAGCTTTCTGAATGATAATCCTGAAATCTTGGCAGTCTCTGGCTCCACGTTCTCATCAGCATTTGGTGCTCTTAGTCCTGTTGGCTGCCGATTAGGTTAGAGCTGGTCTCTCCCTCACATTTCTCTGATCAATAAGGATATTTACTCCATTTTATTTTTAATTATGTATATGTGTGTGTCTACCTGTGGGTATGTGCACAGGAGTCTAGGTTCCCTGGCGTCCAGAAGACTATGTCAGATCCCCTGAATATCAAGTTATAGGTGCTGAAAACCATCTAATACAGGTGCTGACTGAGAACCAAATTGGGGTCCTATACAAGGTCAGTACATATTTTGAATCCTGAGCCATCACTTCAGCCAACAAATGTTTTCTCTTTTTGCACATTGGGTCTCTCTCTCTCTCTCTCTCTCTCTCTCTCTCTCTCTCTCTCTCTCTCTCTGTGTGTGTGTGTGTGTGTGTGTGTGTGTGCTGCATATGGAAGCTTCAGGTCAACCATGGATAACATTCCTCAGGAAATCATCCACCTTGTTTGATCAGCCTTTCACTGGCCTGGAATGTGTGAAGGGGCTAGGCTGTGGAGATCCTCTTGTCTCTCCTCCCTACAATTCCAGCGCTACAGCAGCATTACAGGCATGGGTGGTTTTACACAGATACAGGGGATTTGATCTCCCTTCTGTTCATAACTGTTCTTTCTTTTCCTTGGGGCCCAGCTTGGGACACATCACTGCGGGTGGGACGATGTCCCCCTAAGAGGACCTTTGCATACAGTGTCACTGTTTCCATGTTTACTCTACATAAGAAGCAAGCACAGTCTCCCCCAGACCTCCCTAGGGGACGTAGATGAGGATGAATAACATACTAAGGAATCCCTTTGAAGTCTATGGCCCCTAGGCCATAGTGTTTATTTTCATGTTGCAGAGTTCTTAGCATTTATGCTGGCTCACTTAGCAATGCTAATTGAGAACCGCTAGAACTTTCCTTACTGCTAATTGCAGAACAGTAGAAACCTTATTACTTCTAATTGCAGACAGAGTATTTTCCACTTTTTTCTTTTCTTTCTTTCTTTTTTTAGATTTATTTATTATGTATACAGTGATAGTGTTCTGCCTTCGTGTCTGTCTGACTACCAGACCAGAAGAGGGCACCAGATCTCATTACAGATGGTTGTGAGCCACCATGTGGCTGCTGGGAATTGAACTCAGGACCTCTGGCTGCTGAGCCATCTTTCCAGCTCCACTTTTCACTTTTCTCAAAGGGAAAAAATAGATTCTCCAATGATTATTTTGGCCGTTTTAGTCCAGTCTTTTAGTCAAAGTGTTGGTATAACTGAGGATGAAGAATGGAGAAGTTGTTTACAAATGTGTGGCAGGGTTAAGGGGAAATGACAAAGGAAGGAAGCCTCAGGGATAGGTGGGTGGCTCTTTCTTACATAAAGCCCAAAAGGCAGTGGGTTTCAATCCTCAGGGCATGGCACATTTGGAAAAGAGAAGAATAGCCACTAAGCAGTGTATTCTAGAAAGGAGCCAAAGGACATGTCTTAAAAACAGGACAGTTGGTTGTTTGGCATCCTCTTTCCTCCTCACATCACTGTCCATCTCTGAAGGCAGGATGGTTCAAGAAGGATGACCTGAAAGGGTATGTGATGCTGTCCCTGCAGGCTTCAGGGAGTAAACCCCATTTAGCCAGTTCCGAGTAATAAGCCAATAAAGCTGCAGAGTGATTTGGGAGAAATCTTACTCCTAATCATTTATTACCAACCCAGGTTTCCTTTGCATTTGACAGAGCAGCATCGCTTACCCTGTAATGTAAAGGTAAAAGATGCTGCTTCAGAAAGGAAAACATACAACAAACACAAACAAAAAACAACAACAAAAACCCCCCAAACCAAAACAAAACACAAACCATGGTTAGAATCCCAAATCGTGAAGATAACATGTGGAAGTCCAGGGAGAGCTGGGAGAATAGGCTCCAATCACAGCTTGTTTGCCATCAGCTGAGTATGTGGAGAGGGGGGAGCTGGGGACCTGCATATTCTGAGCAGGACCACAGGAAGCCGTGACATGATGGTAAGACAGCGACAGTGACATCATATGGTAAGCCTTGAATCAGGGAAAACAATGCTGGCCAAGAATTCAGTTCTTACCCAAGAGCACCAATCCCATACGCAGAAGCAGCTGCCAGCATAGACCAATTAGTAACTACATTTACACAGCTCCTCCAGTTCTTTCTTGGGTTTTGTAGAAATGTGCCAAGAGGAAAAGGAAACTTCCCTGAGTGACTCCCAGTTCAGCTGTTTCTCTGACTATAACTAAACTGAAGGTGAGCACCTCTGTATTCAAGGCCTCAGCCCTTTTCTCTGTGACAGCATCGTGACACATCCCTGAAGACCAACTTATGTTTTGTGCACAAACCTCCTGCTTTTGCCATTATGGAGAGAAGAACATTCTGGTTTGACTCTTTCAAGGGATGCTATCAGTTGCTGCAAAGACACTTCAGTGTCTTGCTCAGCCCAGAGCATTTCCAAACAACCAACCAAGTGTTTGGAAACTCAAAAGCAACCAAGAAGGCCAAGTTCATGTGTGCATGTGCTGAAGAGTTCCACTACTCTACCAGCATTTTCTTGGAGTTTGGTCAGTCCTGGTTAACTTCATTAGAACAGTGATTCCTCAATGTATGTTTCATTCTTGATATACATGTCCTAAATCAAATGCTTGGAGGTTCTCCTTTGTAGATAAGGCTCAAGGACAGCAAACA